AGACCAGGTTAATTTTGAGATTCATCATCAGGGCACTTCAGCAAAATATTTGCTAATTGACAGCTTGGCAAGACATTGAGATTCTCTGCCTCAGTGCCCCCACTCGGAAAGAGGCATAACAGAACATGAGGAGAACACAATGTGAGCAACATTTCCCCCAAATGAACCAGCTACCCAGTGACATTGAATTGTCTTCACCGACAGTTGGGAGATATTTCTAAGAAATCACTTATGGCAATGTTCAAAAACAGAAAGTCTAAAAATGGTGACATTTTGCAAAGGAGAATGTCTTTAGCAAAAAACGGGGAAGTGCTTTTGGCAGCTGTGAGTACTGGTGTGTATTTTAAACTGTTGAACAGTTATTCTTTTTAAGAGTATTGTTATTATAGACTGCTAGAGGGACTGCAAATGGTAAGAACTATATTTCATAATCTCTGGAAGTTAAAGTATGTTGGAGATCTTTAAAGGAGCACTGAAGAGTTACTCATGACTGCTTTCAGGCTTTCTCTGTTTTCCTGTCAATGCCACCAAGCAGAAAATACTGTACCTTCTTACCCACTACAACCCAAAGAGTCACAGTAAGTGTCACTATAAAGCCACAATTAACCTCCCAAACTCTGATCACCAAGTAAATTTTCCATCACTCATTCTATCTATTAAATGCTATGCCTCTAATTACACTCTGAAGTGTCATAGCTCCCTGGAATTTGAGGGAAAGTGAAAATTCATATTTGAGGACAGAAGTCTATGAATGTATGTGGGAGGCAGGGATGAATGTGAATGTTACTCTTCTTTGTATTCTTCCATTTTCCTTCTTCTTTGTATTCTAAATGTCTGGAATTATTGGGGAATATTTTAGGTGCTATTACAAATCTAGAAGAATTATAAATTAAATACAGCCATGGAACTAAAACTACCCAATTCAAACACAAAAATTCATTTTCATACATACAACCTCAGTAGATAGAGATCAAGGATAAAATAACTAATGGAGGAGAAGCACAGGCTTTTACATGACAGTGACATTAGTTAGAACTCTGGCTGCTACCCACTCAGAACCACTGAGAGTCTTAGCTCTACCATCCTGCTACCTGGGTTTAAATCTTGACTCTGCCATCTGTCAGCTGTGTGACTTGAGACAGCTACTCTGACTTTCTGTATCTAGGACCTCATTGCAAAGTGGAGAAAAATCATGCATAGTTCTTGGGCCTAGTCTGTGTATTAAGTGATACAAAATGTGTAAAAAGCTTAGAAGAATGCTTAGATAAGTAGAATTCAATTCAGTACTGGCTATAATGATCATTATTAACTAATAATATTCCCTACTCAAGTTATTCCTTTCCATATGCTCCAGTTTTCCCTTCCATAAAACAAGTACACTGAGATTATAAGACTAAAACAGTGAATGAAGAATTCTCTAGAGCAGTGTCTGGCTCAGTCATACATTAAAATGGCAGCTGAATGTCCTAAATTTAATGGTCACTAGTCAAGAAACACGACATACTTTGAAGCAACTGAAGGAGGTAAGGCCTGGCGTGGTAGCTAGCTTTATTTATTGTCAAGGCCAGCACATTCATCAACTCCCCTCATTAAAATTTGCCAATTAATGAGCAGTGGCATACCCCTTAGCAAAGGTCAGCAGCAACCTAAGCAAACTTATCAAAAATTCAAAGAGGTGCGGAGTTTGGGAAAAGTTCATTCTTCCCTTAATTAACGGATCTAATTACAATCCTGACATAACAAAATGCAAAATGCACTCTTCAAAAGACACCAAGTCAAAGGTTTAACAGCCCAGATAACCTTCTCCTTTGGTACAGCCTGACCCAAATGTAGGCGAGGAGAGAGGAGGGAATCTTAGCGTAGAGTCAACAGGGTTGATGAAAGACCTTTTCAAGAAACTAAAGCTCAGTAGCACAGCAGAATCCCAAAGCAACAAAGGAATTGAGAGGGAATAAAAAGGCTCCCACACCCTGGGGTGTGGGTGAGCACAGAGTCAAGGCTCTCACTAATCTCCCTTCTCAGCAGACGTCAAAGTATTTATTTGGTGACCTTTCCTGGCTAGTTATGAATAGCACTTTAACATCCTAAAGAGTCTGGATCTGTAATTGTTGCCTCATTTAGATAAAAACCTAAAGTACAATGAGACAGAATGGATACGCTGTGCTTAAATTGTTTCTGAAATAGCAGGTTCAGAATTTCAAACCAGGTCCCACTAACCACAGGCACAGGGAGAAGGCAGCCTGACCTCCCACTCAGGGAGCCGCCATCTTGGAGGGCCAGCTGGGGCTGCTCTGTGACCTAGGATCGGTTTCAGAGGACACTTCAAAAGTTCCGGCGACTTCGGGTTTCAATTCATTACATGAAAGTGAGCGGATGTAATGATAAGAGCCATTAAATTTTAGTGCTTCCTACCAGTTTCAAGAGTGTTCAAAACTTTTAGTCAGCGAGGGGCTTTTCCACTCAGAGTGCCTCAAAAACTTCTTCAGAAGTTCCTAAGAAGCCTGTTCGTGGATTAGAATAAACATGTCACTGGATATTATTAACCTGAAAGAGGAAATGTATGCTCAGAGAAAAGAAACGACTCCCCCAGAGTCAAAGGGAAAGGTAACAGGGATCCACTCGGCCCACCCTCTGCAGGATCAGATCTGCCACTTCCACTGCTTAGTCGTTTACTTACCCAGTAATGTCCCCGAGCACCCTGCGGGTGTTGGCCTGGTTTTGTCACCACGAACTGGCTGGGCAACCAAAGCAGACATTATCCCATCCTTCACAGCACTGACAGACAACAAACAAACAGAAAGAAAACGCAGGTAGTGTCACTGTTACAGAACATTGACTAGGAGGATGCTAAGGTAGCCACTGTTGTTGTCCTGGTATCCTACTTGGAAGTTTTGCACCAATTTTCCTGCTTTGTTTTGATTGGCTTTGTTCTGTTTGTCTTCTTGGGTTTTACTATCTTTAAAATAAAAATGAATAAAGTAAAATGGAAGGATGTTGCTATCATCTGGTCCCAGAATGTTGCCCCCAAAAGCCCACGTGGTAAAGGCTTGGACTCCAGCTGGGTACTGTTGGAAGATGAAGGAGACATTAGATGTGGGAGGTCTTAGAGTCACTGGGGTGCACCCTTAATGGGGACTGTGCCCCCCACCTACTTTCCTCTTTCTTTTGCTTGGTGCTGCTCACCATAAGTGTGTTTGCTTTGCCACCTGCTTGGGGCCACCTTCTCACAGCCCCAAAAGCAACACGACCAGGTAATCATGGGCTAGAATTTCCAAAACTGTCAGCCAAAATAAATCTTTTTTTCCTTTATAAATTGATCGTCTCAGGTGTGCCACAGTGATGAACAAGCTGACTGACACAGATGTGAGGGTGACTGAGTGATGACCAGGGTTGGAGTGACCACAGCAGCTCCCCCTGAAGGTGACACTGCAGCTGGACTTGAATGGCCCAAAGCGCTATCCACAAGAAGACCAGAAGGAACAGCATAGAAGCAGAAGGGAGCCTTTGGTGCAGAGCCCTAAGACTGCGTAAGAACACAAGAAGCAGGGCACAGCATGTACCTGCCATCCCAGCTATCAGAAGGCTAAGGCAGGAAGATCCCAAGTTCAAGGCCAGCCCGGGCAACTTAGTAAGACCCTGTCCCTGGGGATGCAGCTTGGTGGTACAGCACGGGCCTCGCATGCGCTAGGTCCTGAGTTCTATCCCCAGCATCAAAATTAAAGACAGGGAGGAGGGGTGGGGGGGAGGTGGAAAAGGAAGGAAAAAAGAAGAAAAGAGGGGGAGGAGGAAAGGATGAGGAAGAAGACAAGATGAAGATGTTTAGAACTGCAAGAGTGAGGGAGACAGGGCTATGAGAAGAGATTGGACAGGCAGTGGGTAGAGAATAGAGGACCTGACAATTGCGCATGTCCATGGTACAATTGTGCATTTTCTTCCAAGTGAAACAAAATCTACCGGAGGGTGTTAACCAGAGAAGTGATCTGAATTCCCTTTTAACAATCACTTTGAGAATAGGTAAGTAAAAGTGATTAATAGAGTGCTTGATAGATATTAAGGAATACTATTTGGCCATAAAAAAGAGTGAAATTCTGTCATTTGTAGCAACATGGATGAAACTGGAGGACATTGTGTCAGATGAAGCAAATCAGGCACAGAAAGACAAATACCACATATTCTTATACGCAGAAGCTAAAAAGTAGAGTACTGATTTCCAGAGCCTGGGAAAGGTGTGGGGAATGGGAGGCTGGAGAGAGGATGGTTAATAATGGATACAAATGTCCAGTGAGATGGGGGGAAACACCTTCTAACTTTCTACAGAAGAGAAGGAAACTGTGATTGACGATTTTTTCTTTTTTGAGACAGGGTCTCACTACAGAGTTCCAGCTGACTTTAAACTCACTATGTAGCCCAGGCAGGCCTCAAACTCACGGTGATCTTGTGCCTCGGCATCCCAAGTGCGTTCACCATCATGCCTGGCTTGACAACAACTAATTATTTCAAAAGAGCTAGAACACAACACAAAGAAATAATAAATGTCTGAAGTGATATATACACCAATTTCTCTGATCTGATCTTTTCATATTGTGTACACGCATCAAAATGTTACACTGCACCTATAAATATATAGCTGTGTATTAATGAAAAATAAAAATACATTTTTAAAAGATCATCTTACACTCTTACGTGAAATAAATCAGACACAAAGCTTATATATATATGGTCTGTCTTATATGAGAAAACTGACGTGTAAATAATTTAAAGAGCAAACTAAAAGACAGATCACAGAAAACAGGGATTTGTCTTTTGCAAAGGGGACAGGACCAAGAGACAGAGGCAGTGAAAGGGCGGAGAGAGGAGGTAAAAAGAATGGAGAGGCGTTCTGTCCACGCACAGTCTCCCCACAGCGAATGTAGTCACTGTGCACTGTAAACGTGCACAAATAAAAAGTTTGTTTGAAGATCATCCCAGGCTGGATTGGGGGGGGGGGGGGCTTGACACGCCGAGAAGCGGCGTCTGGCGGCCTGGTAAGAGAGGAGCGCGTAGGAACCGGTGGAAACCGGAGGGATGTCCTGCAGGAAAAGTCCACAGAATCTGTACAGACACTGGGTAAATGTGAGCGGCGGTGAGAAAACTCGGGGAGCCACTCTGGTGGGTTTTTGCTTGAGCACCGCGTGTCGATCGCGGGGATAAGCAGCCCAGGCCTGGGAAAGGAGCAAACGCAGGAATAGTTCTCCCCGGCCCACTCGGGTGCCTGCTCGCTGTGCACGGGGAGCAGCGGATGGGGAGAAAGCGGCAAGCTGGGGTCGTTCCTGCGAGCCGTTGCTGGGAGGAGGGCGCCCAGGAAGAAGGCGCCTGTTTTGCAAAGGCGCGGGCCACCCTCCCCGCCGCGGGCTGGCGCCGCAGCTCCGACCGCGCCGGGAAACCACAAAGGCGCCCGGGCGGTCGGCGGCCCGCGCAGGCGTCTGCAGTCTGCTTCCCGCTCTAATCAAAAGGCGCTCGGGTGAGCTGCGGAGCCGCGCGCCTCCTCTGATGTGCTGCGAAGCGAACCTGGGCCTGCACTCAGGTGCTCCATAAAAAGGGGGAGAGGGGTACTGAAAAATCAGTGGGCTTCGGAAACTGTGAGTTTTACTTTCTGTGCACACAAGGGGAAAGAAAAGCCGCCGTGGCAACCGCGTCGCTTCCGCCTCGCAGCCCGGTGTGAGACTGCCCCCTCGTGGCCGCTGCGGCTAACAACCTAAATCAGTTCTTTGAAAGTTGGAACACACAGCTGCCTTTATTTGCGTCTAATTTTTTTTCTTAAATAAGCACAATTTCTAGAAATCAATCCCATGGGCCTTCATTACAGGAACTCTGAAAAATGAAGACGTGAGAAATCTTTAGATAACTTTAACCACCACCACGTCAAAAGGTAGGTTTTCTTTAAAAACACGTTTCTCTGCCATCCAGTTCCAAAGCATCGATATGTATGGAACTAACCGATTCTGATAAGTACCTGGTGTTCCCCTAAAGGTCCCCAGGGAGTTTGATCTTGATGTGACACCTGCGGCAGATTATTATGTGGGTTCCTCTGAATGCAGAACCTGAAACCAGGTGAATGCAGAGGAAGTTAGAAAGCAGGACAGTAGGAGTTAAAAGCGAAGGAGAAAAACCCAGGGATGGGTTGATCACCTATTTATTTCTGGGTCAAAGGGAGTTCATCCCCAGAGGAACTTCTAAGAACCCACACAGAAAGCATCTCAGGATTGGCCCCCTGAAGGACAAAAGGACTGTTTTTTTTTTTTTTTCTGATGTGTTTGATGGTTGGTTGGTTGTTTTGAGACAGAGTCTCATAAAGCCACTTAAATGCCCAGGCTGGGATAGAATTTGCAACCTTTTACCTCAGCCTCCCAGAATGCAGGGATTATAAGCAACAACACCACACCCCGCTAACCTGGTGCATTTTTCAGCCATCTCTCGTTCCTCCTTGGTGAAAATTGCTCTCACGTCTGATCTGCGCTTTTGTAAGCACTAGAGCATCGCGAAGAAAATCTGGAGGCAGAAAACTTGAAAAAGATCGTGGTACCCACACTTAAAGTTGAATGAGGCCGAAGCAGACGCTTTTCCCCTTAGCTGAGCTGTAAAGGATGGGCCGGGGGAGGTGGCTGGACATAAAACACGTCTGTGACCTCCAAGAAGAGTCTCAGCCTGAATAATTCAGGGAAGCCTTGCTCTGTGGAGGACAGGGCACCACAATGGCTATTTGCTAGCTGTGTGAGCTTTGGCAAACTTCTTCTTTCCCCACTGAACCTTAATTTCCTCATCCATAAAGTCATTATAATGGTAGCTATAATTAAGTGCTCTTCTAAATAATAAATGTGTTAATATATGCGAGGTGCCTAGTGCAAGGGGGAAAACACATTAAGTTGTTATAGTATTGTTAATAAAATAATAATTATAAGAGTAATATCTCATTTGCCTCACTGGTCTCCAATTTTGGCTCACGTTTATTAACTCCATCTTGGTCTTGCTCTTATTTTGTAGCTTCTATTTATTCAGACACATGGTAAGTTGCTTTTGGCTTGTTTCCTTTCTTCCTTCCTAACATATGTATAAGGCCCTAAGTGTACTTCAAGGGGTGTGTTCACCTTACTCTGTAATTCTGCTTTGTTTGTACAGCCCCCAACTAACCCCTGGACTGCACCACATAAACACTTTCAAGCCTCAGCAGGCCACACTGGACATGCAACAAACAGACCACAGGTGACTTCTACATGAGCATTTTTCCTTCCAAGTAGTCCCTTTGCAAAGTTTCACAAGCCACTTTCTTTCCATTCCCGCCCCATTCCTTGCATGCATTTATGTAACAACACAAGATTGGCACATTAATTTTTTTTATTGGTACCAGGGATCGAACTCACGACTGCCTGCTTGCAAGGCAGGCACTTGTGTCCCTGAGCTAAATCCCCAGCCCCATTAATTTATTCTTGTATTTAAGACAAAAATAATTTTTCAATTTGTAGATATATGTAACAACACAAAACAGAGACATTACCTAACACGAAAAGCTAGGATTCATTCTTCTTTTGTAAAATTCACCCCACACCCAACCATAGTAACCTGCCTAGTAAGTATACAGTAAATATTTTTTTCTTTTTTTCTTTTATCAGTACCAGGGGTTGAACTCACGACCGCCTGCTTGCAAGGCAGGTGCTTATGCTGCTGAGCTAAATCCCCAGCCCAATATTTAACTATTTTATTCATTCATCAACTGTTTTAAGAACCTACTATAAGATACTGTATTAAATACTGAAGAAAGACACAAAAGTAAGTAAAATATGGTTTATGATTTCAAGATCACTGTGGTCTTTGAGAAGGTAACATTAAATACCTCTAAGAATGTGTGTGATGTGTCTGTCTTCTCTAGAAAGCAGCAGAATCCTTAGGAAAGAAATAATTCACATTTGTATTCCCTATGACACATTATAAGCTCCTAGTAAATGCTGGTAACTCCTGAAAAAAGGAAAGAGATAGAAAACTTAGTTGTTTCTGAGGAAAGTGAATATGATATACAACAAGAGGCTCCTAGAGGAGCTTTGCAGTGGTCTGAATGTTTGTCTCCTCCAAAGCGTGTGTGAAAATTGAGTTGGCACTGAACCCGTGTTGAGAGGTGGGAGCTCTGGGAGCTGACCCACCAGGGAAGGTGTGGCACTGCTACTGCTATAAAAGGACTTTTATAACAGGGTCCAACTTTCTGTGTAAAATAAATAAATAGCAATTGTTTTTTTCTAAACTAAAGCCTCATTATTCAAGTTTAATTACAATGTTGACATTTTGAGATAAATAAGGGGCTTGGGGACTGCAGTTTGGATGCTTGATCTCTAAAAGGTTTGCCTCACTGGCCTGTAGTATTCTTTTATAGGAGCAAAAAAAAATGGACTCAATGGATCTATATTTGATTTTTAAATCTTTATTTTTTTAGGAATATCTCTAAAAACAATGTAGAGTTGTATATGCATAATGGGTCACTGAACTTTTAAATAAAAATTATAAATAAATAAAATCAATCTCAAATCCTTATAAATAAAAATCAATCTCAAATCCACTTTTAAAAACTCCACACTATAAGGTATTATAAATGTAATTCTGGAAATAATGTCATGTGACTCTTCCAAAGTTTGTTCTTCCTTTTCAAAATAGTTTTAATGATTTCAGATCTTTTGGATTTTCATAGAGAATTGTTATCTTCAAATATTTCACCTTAAAATGTTTTTTGAAATTTTTGATTTTCTGCAGTGTTTTCTAATTTTCTGTATATAGGTCTTATAAATTTTATAGTGAGATTTATTTTTATCTATATTTTAATAGTCTTGTAAACTATGTGTTTTTTTTTTCTTTTCTTACCATGAAGTGGAAGTATAGTTGCTTTTCAATAAACATTTTTTAAAACTAAAAAAATAATACTAATCACACCTTCTTTTGTCTCCTGGTTCTGCTGCCCTTCTGCCTTGTAAGGAGCAGTGTCAGGTACCATCCAGGGAGCAGAGCCCAAACCTGCCCACCGCTTGAACCTGGAGTTCCCAGCCTCCAGGACTATGAGAAATAAATTTCCATTCTTTATAAATTATCCAGTTTGTAACACCCTGTCACAGCAGCACAAAATGGACTTAAGTATTAGGAAGTTGAATTAAAAGGTGAGTAGAATTTTAATAGACAAAAGTGTGAAAGAAAGAAAGAACACATTACTAGTAGAAGGAACAAAAGTAGAGAGTCAGGAAATACTTATGCACACTACGCTAAGAGTTTTCAGTAGGAGCCAATATGGAGGCACATACTTGTAATCCCACCACTCTGGTAGGCTGAAGCAGGAAGCTCACAAGTTTGAGCAACATAGCAATTTAGCAGCCCTATCTCAAAATAAAAAGTAAATGACTAGGGATGTAGCTCAGTGATAGTGTTTGCCTATCAAGCACAAGACAATGGGCCTTGGGCTGGGGATTTAGCTCCACAGCATAAGTGCCTGCCTTGCAAGCACACAGTCGTGAGTTCGATCCCCAGTTCAAAAAAAATTAAGACCCTGAGGCTCAATGCCCAGAACCCTAAAAAAATCTGTTTTTCTCAAGCATAATAGAAAATAGATGCTATCACCGTCTAAGCAGTACACTGAGGTTTAGAGACAGCCAAATGGAAAATCAAATAGAGGCCTGAATCTTCCTGGATATTAAGATCAGATCATTTAGGGCAAGGGAATTAACACATCATCGAGGTTGCTTCATTTAAATGATAATTACTACTTGTCAGACACTACTCTTGGAGAATGGATAAGAGGAGGTGGAAAACCACTGAAGTAACTATGCTACTGACGTAGTGAGGCATAATGAAGCTCACGTCTAGGAGCTACTAAAAAGAGGAAGCAAAGCTAGACGTTGCTACTGAAGAGGCTGAGGCAGGAAGATCCTGAGTTTGAGGCCAGCTGGGCAATTTAGTAAGACTTTGTCTTAAGACAAAAAGGAGAAGGAAAAAGAGGGAGTAAAAAAGAGATAGAAGAAGGGGGGAGGAGAGAGGAGGAAGAGAGCATGAGATTGCATACTAGTAAAGGTTAAAAAGGGCTGCAGCCCGGCTTGCGCCTTAGAAATGGATGAGCAGGAGGGAGGAGCTAGAGAAAGTATCTTTTCATCTTTAAAAGGCAGATACATCCAAAAGACAGCCAGCTATTTCCTTCTACACACATCTCCTTGCCACTTGATTCCGCTTGTAGTCTTAAACGGAATAGAAAAGCTGCCATGGCTCCCACTGTCTTTTTTAGTGTATGATTCCATTCATGAGGGCGCGTTTCTCACCCTTTGTAGAGTCTTTGCCCTTCCTGTGTTTTAGCGTAACCAAGTGTAAAGCGGACTCACTCCTTGCAACCACATGTTACTGAGTGTCATGGTTTATCTCAGTGGCCCCCAGGCCTCATGCATTTACATCGTGCATCTGTGATTGGTTCATTGTCTAGTGCTTGGATTGATGGTGTCAGTGCAACATCCACATAGGGGTGGAGCCAGGATGTGATGTAATGGCAGGAAGAAGGGGTGTCTCGCTCTCTTGCCAGTTTCCGCCTTGCTGTTTACAGCTGCCATGAACTGCGGCCCTGCCATGCCACCCTGCCTTGGAGCCAACTGAGTATGCACTGAAACCTCCAAAAGCTGTAAGAAATAAACCTTTCCTTTCCCAACTTTGGGCTTCAGGTATTTTGTCTCAGAAACAAGTAAAAAGTAACTGAGACACTGAGCTTAGCACACAGTGGATATTCAAAGCTGATAAAGAAGACTGGAAGGAAAGAAAGATCCTTAACAGGGACTGGCTTTCATTTTTAGGACTTTTTAAGACCACTGAGCATTTCCTTTTTGTCCAAAGCACTTGAGCATTCCACAGAGAAACACACTGTTCCAAACTGGAAGGCCAGCAGAAATATTTGAAGGAGTTAAAAGAGGGACAAAATGTCGGATCAGTGACACACCTGTTTTGGGATATGAGCCAGTCGCTGGGGTTGAATTTGATATGGGAAAATGTAAAGGACCTAAGCTGGTAATTCTGGCCTCAACCTAGAGCATTTGAGGGAAATAGAAAGGAGTATAGTTGAGGGGAAAGGCTGAATGCTGAATTCGGTAGATAAAGAATTAAACGAGGCAAAAAAATAAGTAGATTCATTTAATCCATGCAGTGGATCACTTGGGGCACTCTACTAAGGCCCTAGTATAGCACCAGAGGGAGCTAAACATGGGTGTTAAAATTCAATTCACTTCCCTCTTTTAGTAACAATGAAGCTTGGAAATTTGAAAAGTATTCATTTGCAAAGAATTCTCAGGAGGAGCTAGAAAATCACCCGCCTCCAGCTGGTACCTTGCTCTGCTAATGATTTGTATACATGTGAATAAAAGGTTCAGTACTCCTATTAATTACCTTAAAATGATTAATCTCCATCAGAAATTAAGGAATCAAGAGGTAGCTCACCTAATGTTCTGTATCACAAATATGAGAAAGAAGGGTGCTTCATTACACATTCATATAGTCTTCCCCTGGTTCATTTCTGTCCCCATTTGTATACAGAATCATACAGAAATAAAATCTATATCCACCCTGGTTTTAGCTTACATCTTTGAAGTAGAAATAGCAGGGCACAAACTTTCTAAACCAGATGGATAAACCCTTCTGTTCACCATCGGAATGTCTTCTCCTGTACTACCTAAATCAGGCATTTCACCTAAATTTGTCATGAAACTATAAAAATGTCCACTGGCCTCTTAAGTTGCAGAGGTTTACCTGTTTATGCTACCTGTGGTTGCGTCTTAGCCTCCAGTCTTCCAATCCTCCTTCTTATTTATAATACAATTCTAAACTGTGATTTGGATATTCCTCTGTTTTCATTGCCTCATCTACTATCTGTCTTAGTTGGTTTCGTCTCTTGTTGTTGAGACAAAATAC